TTGCAGTATTCAGGTTGGTTGGTCAACCCTTTCAAAGTACAGGAAGTCCCCGACTTACAACGGTCCATTTACTGACCAGTTAACGACGGCGCTAAAAAGAAGTGGGAGTTATGACCTTTTTTCACGACTGTTGCAGCCTCTTCCCCTCTCCTCCCCCCCCCCCCGAGTTCATTTTGCAGTATTCAGGTTGGTTGGTCAACCCTTTCAAAGTACAGGAAGTCCCCGACTTACAACGGTCCATTTACTGACCAGTTAACGACGGCGCTAAAAAGAAGTGGGAGTTATGACCTTTTTTCACGACTGTTGCAGCCTCTTCCCCTCTCCTCCCCCCCCCCCGGTCACCTGATCAAAATCCAGACGTTTGGCAACAGACTCATATTTATGACCGTCTGGACAAGCAAAGTCAGTGGGGAAAAAACATCACTTCACAACTGGGTTATGGGGCAAAACTCACTTAGCAAACGTCTCGCTTAGCAACAAAAATTCAGGGCTCAATTGTGGCTTTTTAATCAAGGTCTCCCTGTTCCCCTCCCTACTTTTTTACCCTTCTAAAGAGGCCAAAAGTGGGACATTTGAAGAACTGGCTGGAAAGGCCATAACCTGCGTCATGAAATTGAAACGGAGATGGCAACGGGGTGGGGTAGGGGGGTTTCTGCTCGGTTAATCCCTCCACTTTCAAGATAGGAGACTCCCGGCCTGTTTTGCTGGCAGCCGAACGAAGGATTTTATTTATCCCCAAACTATCCCAACAAACGCACGCACAGCAGGCGCAGGGGTGCCCCCCCGCCCCTCGGTCCCACCCATTTAATGCTCCGCTGAGCCACGACAGAAGGGGAAGCATTAAAAGAAAAATGGCATTTGTGGGTCTTTTACAAATGACAAATCCACACGTAATCTCCGCTGTGCGTTCCAGCCAAAAAGAGGCCAGCGGAAATATTTAGGGCGCAAATAGAATTTCCCAAACCCGTCCAGAGCGAGGATGGAAGGTATGGCACACGCTACACACTCCTACACACTCGCAACTCACAACGACCATTAGCAAACGGCAGGTAACAACAAACAGGACCCCCCCCCCTTTAAAGGCTGCTTTGTCATTGCACACAAAAGAGAAGGGCCGGTTGATCTCACCCTCTTGACCGCAAGCGTTGCCAGGGCCAACACAGCTGCGCCGCTGACCCCCAGCACCACCCGGGCGTTGGCCAGCACCAGGTCCACGAGGCTGCCCAGGCTGCTCTCGTCCTGCCTCTTGCCCTGCTTGCCGGCAAAGGTTGCCATCGTCCGTCCTCAGAAGCCAGTGCCAAAGTAGTTAGTGCCAGGGAAAAGTCTTTATGGGCGCCAGCAAGAGAAGGCGGGAAGATTCAAGGAGGACCGGGGCATTCTTGGAAGCCTTCAGACCTGGAAAGAGACAGAGAAGAGAATGAGCTACAGAATGATCCACCTGGCTATCTCAGTGCTTCTCAACCNCGCGGTTTTGTGGTGGAACCATCACAGGAAGCCAACGTCCGGTTCATTGGCCAGAAAGATGGTCTAGCTCTGGGGATCTCCAGTCTTGGCCACTTCAACTCCCTGAGTTCCTCCGCCAGCAAAGTCTTAAAATGGACACGGCTGGAGATCCCTGTTGTAGTTCTTCTGAGAGCAGTTCAAGAATGGACCCAGGGCAGTGGGGAAATTCCCATTTTTTTTACTACCGGTTCTGTGGGCGTGGCAGGGGAAGGACACTGCAAAATCCCCATTCCCTCCCCACTCGGCCAGCCAGAGGCGATATTTGCCAGTTCTCCAAACTACTCAACATTTCCGCTGCCGGTTCTCCGGAACCTGCTGGATTTCAGTCCTGAACCAGAGGCCCGAAGAGCTGTTGGGTTCTCTTTCCTTACTTGTGTTCAAGCCAAAGCTGGACAATCATTAACCAGGGATGTTTTTATTTGGATTTTGGCACTTCTTGGGGACGATGGGGGTTAGGTATTTGGGGTTCAATTGTACAAGGCCACCTAGGGGAAAATACACCCCACCACCGGAGGATTGGAGCATGTTTCCTCAGGAAGGGCCCCCCCTATCCTGGAAAGACCAACACACACACACACACCCAACTCAACCTCACCTGGCACAGGTGCAGCTCTGACGGGGGACAGCAGGGGCTCCTCCAGATCCTGCCTCCGGGCTTTGGGCGCCCCCTTGATCAGGCTGAGCTCCTGCCAGCTCTCCTCCAGGGACTTCTGCTTGGCTTTCATGTCGTCGTCGTCCCCCGGCGGGCTGGTGGCTCGGTCAATGAACTGTAGAAGGAAAGAAGCCCCCCCACTCCCCAGTTAGCAGGAGCTGATCTTCTCCGGAAGCAACGCCACCCTTGGCTGAACGGGGATTTTTCGCCCCCAGCCAGACGGTTACGAGGTTTCATCGGGGGAAACATCTGGGCCTCCACCAGGTTACTTCCAGGCTGCTCTGCAACCAGGCACATGCACACACACACACACACACACACACACACNGAGCCGGTGAGATTTGAACCGCTGAACTGCAGATAACAGTCAGCTGAAGTGGCCTGCAGTACAGTACTCTAACCACTGCGCCACCTCGGCTCAATAAAGCAATATAAATAAATAAAGAGCTGCACTTGAGTGAATCTCACTGCCTTTGGCCCCCACAGCCACAGATTTGCATGATGCTCCTTCGAATACACTTTCCTCAAGCGCTTCCCTTCTGCCTTGGAGATCTTGCCTGGTTCCAAAGGACAGGAATGCTTGGAGTAGGAGAGCGCGGAGGGAGGTGTAGCTCTCTCCAGCTGTGGCTCCAACCTCATCACATCCACAGATGTCAGGGAAACCACATTCTGCCCATCATAGCAAAGTGGGGAGAATCCATTCTCGGGTGACTTAAAACCCCCCTAATCTTCTCCTCTCCTCTCCTGTTGCAGCTGCCTCCACTTTCCCTTCTTCTGCGGGCAGGTGGCCCCAACGAGGACCCGGGGAGAAAGCCAAAAGGCCAGGCAGCGACTCCTCTGTGACTGCGCCAACGAAGAGACCAAGGACGTGCAGCGTTTGCCACCAGCCGGGCCACACCAAAACCAAGTGTCCGCAAAATCGCTGAAGCGGCGTGGCCCACGGACAAGGCCGGTTGGCCAGGGAGAACTCGAAAAGGCCCGTTTGCAAACGAGAGGCTTCTGAAAGATTGGGCCTCCTTTCTTGCAGGCCTCCAGTTCTCCCCTCCTTTTCAGTTTTAAAATAGAGGGTGGGACTGTGGAAGAACTCGAGGCTGGGGGCTTCTCCACCGTGGTCACTTGGAATTCCGGGAGTTGGAAGCCCACCCATCTTCCAGAGGCCACGGTTCCGCAGCCAGCTTCAACTCCCAGGAATTCTGGGAGTTGAATCCCACAAGTCTTAAAATTGCCAAGGTTGGAGAGCCATGCAAGAAGGCTATGCTGGTGTTTTGACTTTAAAAAGCTTTTCTTCTCTTGGGGAATTGAAATGAGACGGGGATGTTTCTCAAAAGTCCTGGAACTCACTGTAAGGCTGATGCTCTCTTAGAGGACGTGATTTCAAAGCTGGGCAAGCTTTTCCCCCTGTAGAAATCCTATTCCACCCTCCCTCTAACTGGAATAACCAGCCTCCATAATTTATTCAAAATGAGAAAATATATGTGAACAAAACCCAGAGAGTTTAATATTTCTCACTGCCTTGCTCAATGCTGTATTGTTATGCTAAGGGCAGCTAATTTCTGCTCTCAGCTGAGGTGGGTAATCGTTTTTTTTAATTAAAATATATATTTGGCTTAAGCTACGTGTGTTGGGTGTGCCGGTACTCAACCCCCTGCGTAAGCAGTATTGAAAACACCACAAGTTTACATCAGAAGTTGGTTCCTGGGTGCTCAGAAGCAACCTGAGCTGGTTCGCTCGCTCGCTTTATTGATTGATTGATTCGTAAAAATCAGAAAAATCTTCTGCCAAGCAGAGACCCCATCGCTCAGGGGGCCCTGGAGAGGGCATGACGTTCAGAGGTGCCCAGCCACACGATTTCAGAACTCAAGCAATGGGGAAAGCCGAGAGGAGGGAAGGGGGGGGATCAGCTACCCTCTGCCACCTCAGCCCTCCAATCCTGCCCTAGGGAGAAAGGACACGCTGCTCCCCGGAGGAGGAGGAGATCCGCTCCGAATGGGGGAAAGAATCCGGTCAGAGAGCGAGTACAAAGGGCTTACAATCAAGGGCCGTTTTACTTCCAGGAGTTAATACTTTCATTTCATTCGGTGCAAAAGAATTGCAATGGGGGGAGGGAGGGAGGGAGGGAGGGGTGTGCACGGATGTCCCTTTCAAGTCTTCTCCGTCGAAAAGGAAGGTCTGTCCACTCTACAGACCCAGCCCCTCCGCGAGGCTGGGCGCGGCCAAAGCCTCGTACAAGGTGCAGCCGATCTCGTCAATCTCCTCCGGGAGCAGACGGCTCAACAGGTCAACCCTCTCGTCGAAAAAGCAAGGGAGGGAACCTTTGGCCAGGTACTGGACCAGCTCCTCCAAGACCTGCTGGAGCCTGACGGCCAGCACGGCCTCTGACCAGTCCGTCTCCGTTCGGCTCAGGTGGAGGATCACGTGAGTCAAGTCACTGCCGGTGATTCTGCTCCAGAACGGGTGTTTTTCAAAAGTGGCCTTCAAGATGAGGAGGCAGCACCGCCGGATGCCTCCGTCCCCGGCGTCCAGCTCCTTCAGCTCTGAAACCTCCGCCGCGTAAAAACTCCGCCGCCAGAGGTTCTCCACCGCTTCTCCAGAGAAGGTGGCGAGGAAGGTCTTGCCTTCCGTTTCCACTACCGGGCAGAGGGTGATGTCCAGGAGGACCTGTTCGTGCCTGACTTCCAGCTTGAGCTCCCTGGGAGCCATGGAAGGGCGCACGATGCAATCCAGCAGGCTGCCGATGACCGGCCAGTTGACGGAGGCCACCAAAGTCTTCAGGAGGGCATCGTTGATAGAATTGGACGATAGGTACCCACCTACAATGAACTTGTCCCAGGGGCTACTCCCCCGTGTGAAGTACTCCAGGCTACTCCGTTTGATCATCCCGTACCACGGGTTGTCCAGGAGCGTCTCTTCCCCACCGATCAAGTGCCAAAGATGGTCTTCTAGGACCAAGGGAAGGTTGAAGACCACCTCTAGTTGGTGTTGGCCAACAAGGTCGTCGCAAAGGTAGCCGCTCAGGGAAATATTCCCAAAGGGCAGGTCCGAGGACTTGTTCTTCAAGAAGGACTGCAGCTCCACCCGGATGTCTTCTGCCAGCTGCTTCCCCACAGCCTTCTCCGTCTCGGAGACGTAGACGTGATCCCTGTAGAAGGAGAGGAGTTTCTCCTGAAGGGTGAGGCAGAGCAGGGACTGCCCCGAGGAGACTCCCGAGGACTGGACGAGGTCTTTGGAGTCTGCAAGGAAGACAGAGAAAAGGACGTCAGTCACAGGATGTGACCCATCAAAACCGCGCTCGACTAAGCCGCGCCCGATTAAACCGCGTCGCTGACGTCATCAACAGGGCAACAACAGCCAGCNGTTGGGGGCAATATGCTGACTCTGTAAACCGCTTAGAGAGGGCTGAAAGCCCTATGAAGCGGTATATAAGTCTAGCTGCTATTGCTATTGCTATTTCTCCTTTTTTAGAATCAAAGGCAAAGATTCCCTTAAATCAGAGATCTATTCACAACACAAAACCAAAATCCGATTCCCTTACCATATAAATCTTCATGGCTGTCAAGGCGTTGGTTATCATCCCCCACTATGATATAGAGTGGCACACGCAGTTCTGGGAGAGCTTGGGTGTAGCGATAGGTTTGCGACTGACACCTCACATGATGGGATGCTCCTTCATCCCTTTCTTCCAGGGATGCTGGAACAAAAATCGGGACTCCTTCCACTTCCAATACACAGAAGATTGTTGCTGGATCCTAAGGGATGGAGGGAGGGTACAATAGGGCTCCGTATGCATCACCTGTTCTTCCCAATTTTGTACCCCAAATTAGCCCATCTTTAATCCCACATTCCTAGGAGTCACAGACACCCTTCCAATATTCAGAATTCTTTTAAGGGGGGAAGGCATTAGGATAGTTCACATTGCATTTGACGCAGTCATCCCAAAGCAAAGGACTTTCTGAAAGCCTCCTGTGTTCACCTCTTTTGAGGACTCTGATTTACCTGGCTAATCACTAAGTGTAGATTCCAGGCCACCAGATTTATTGGCATTTCCACATTGACAGGAATCAGGGGGATTTCTCCATCCCCTCCCACACTGGGACAGGCAGTTCGACCCCGGGGTTCTTCAGCCAATGCCTAGGAGAAACAGAAAGATTAGCTACAGCTTCAGGCTTCGTGTTCTTTCCTGCCCATTTGTTCTGGAAAACTAGGAGACCCACGCTCCGAAGTGTTTGTTGCTCACCTTGTGGTTGTAGACAAGCCCCTCTGTATTTGGGCAGGGCCCTTCAGAGACACAGCGATGACTGGATGGGCACCAGTGGCACATCCAGGGGCTATCTACACATGTTCCACATCTATTGGAGAAAGAAGGATCAAAGAAAAACAACCTTTAACTAAGTGTGTGATATCAGCAAGGTAAGGAAAGGGTGGCTTCTGGAATTCTTTCCAAGCCCTTAACTTAGGACAGTGTTTCTCCGTGACCCGTCAAAACCGCGCTCGACTAAACCGCGCCCGATTAAACCGCGACGCTGACATCATCAACAGGGCGACAACAGCGCGGAGACAGAAGCACGCTGTAAACACTAAACCTAAAATTAACACCTAAACCTAACCCCCCTAAACCTAAACCTAACCCTAACCCTAACCCTAACCCTAAACCTAACCCTAAACCTAATCCTAAACCTAATCCTAAACCTTAACCTAACCCTAAATCTAACCCTTAACCTAACCCTAAATCTAACCCTAACCCTTAACCTAACCCTAACCCTTAACCTAACCCTAAACCTAACCCTTACCTTAAGTTGAATC